TAGCTCCTCAAGACAGTTTTAAAAACAATGTAATACAGGTTTTACTTACTCAAGACAATCCAGTGTTCCTATCCAGAAAGAGGGCTGAGACCCATTAACTTCGAAGAGCTAAATTGTAGTGAAGTTGTTTAAAACCATCCACTCTTTCTTAATTCAACTGCAAATTCAGTATTGTATTACAAACAAGACCACTGAATAAACAACGCTGCAAGCACACAAAGGTTATTAGTAACTAAGTCTTTCGAAATCACTATCTGTTACTGAGAAAAGCAAACCTAGTGAAAAATAACCCATTACAAATTTAAATACCAGAGGCTGGGAGAGTAAGTAAAAGACAAGCACTTCCCTGACTGAACACCAGAGAGCGCTCTGAATCGCAAGTTCCTATAGATGGACTAAGAGTAAAGAATCCGCCAGCTTATACATACATCGTCCATTTCTCACCAGGCGCGTGCAGGGACGGCCTCAGTAGGAGGCTCGATCTTACCACTAAGCTGGCCAGACAACTCCCGAGTTCTGTTCATGCATTACAGTTTCGTGACGTGTCTCCCTCTTCAAGCAGATACCCACTTCAAAAGAAATGTTAAAGTAGGGCTAACAAGAAAAGCTATTCAGTCTAAAAGGGAGCTTGGAGGCAGAGGCAGTGGTGAGCCAGTTAACTCTAAATCTGTCAGCAGCATTTTACAAAACAGAAAGGAACTGACTAAATCACAACATGACTCGGAACTGACGTCAATGTGCAGCTCGCTTGGAGTTTAACTTTTCCACTTCCCCTGCTGAAACACGATTCCAGGAAATGTAATGACATCAGCCCTTTGAACTCAATTAGCTGAACAGACCATTTTAAATACAAGAGGAAAGAAACAAGTAGGCACATAAACATCCATAACACGCGGGTTTTTCCTATTCTGTTTGGAGCTGCATTTGCCCACAGTAACGAAATCAGAACGTGAACAGTATATACTGTATGTTTAACCTGCGGCTAGACTGAATTTGCAACAGGTTGCAGATGAAGTAACAGCTTATTTTAGTAGGGCAGAATGGTATGCACATGAAAGAGAGACACAGAGATGCAGGGGAGGAAGAGAAGGGAGAGAAGAGGGGAGGATGGGAGGAGGGGAAGAGGGGAAGGGGGAGGAGGGGAGGGAGGACAGAGGGAGGAAGAGAGGATTAGTGCCTCAGTCAAGCAAGCAACAGAATATTGAGCAAAGAAACAATCATACTAAGATGCCCTAACAAAGTGAGCTGAATATATATAGATGTGTATTTCAAAAAAGTCTTAAACCTAAGTGACTAGGAGAGTAACACTTTCTGAAACACTCAGATGTTCCTGAATACTTCCTAAACTTCAAAACAATCTGCAGAATTAACTGAAACCCCTCTTTAACATTCTTACCTGTGTCATCTCCAGTTACAGCCATAATGGGCTTCTGCAGACAGAACTGTCTTGTTTCCTCTACCACAGTTCAACATAAAGTGTTCCAAATTAGCAAGCATGTGCACGATAAGCAGGAGGACTGACATCACAATGACATCACTAGCCTATCACTGCCATCAATTTGCTTTGTCACAGGCGAGCTCACTGAAACCCCAGCCCTATAAAAACTCTTCCTGTAATAAACCATCTTAATGCTCTTGTTTCTCATTTTTACATAGAAATCTGTTTGAGGTGGGCTCTGGCATA